TGTCACTTTCTATAAGATCCAACGACGAGAACGTAGACATTTATTTGCGTAATACCTTCAACTAGATCGAAACGCTTGTGAACAAGATGACTATTCTTACTTGAAGAAAGGAACAAATCTTTCTTTCTTCGTTGAATCTTTGTATCCGTAGCCACGACTGTCGACCAGTTTAACTTTACCGCGTTTGGTTGCATCTTCAATTTTCTCAAACGTAACATGGAAGGAGGATTCACTGATGTCTCCTAATGAAGGGTCTTCCAAATATGACTCTAAAAGAAAACAAAAGATGAATATGATGCTATAATAAATACAAAATGAAACAGGAATAATGTATCGAAGGGTGAAAGTCGCTGACAAAATTACTAGTTATGTTATTACTATTAGTTATTACTAGTTACTAGCGTATAATCTTTGAATTATTTTGAATTCTTTAAACTTTCGTGAAATGGTTTGTTTACATCACGGTCGCTATGACGCTTATCGATCGATACTCAGAACTCTCCATCGCTTAAGTAATTGTTATTAGAATAATTTGCAAGGTTACTACTTGATAGATGTATTAAACTTTACGATCATTAAAAAGATTACAGTTCGAACTTGTCTTTCTACAAGATCACTATTTTCTAGCTACACTAACACGTTCAAGTTGTCAAATCACAACACTTGCACGTGCCGACATTCGATGTGAAGCACTCTCTGAATATCGAGTTTTTAACGTTGAACTGTTTTGCTGTACATATTACCAGTACGCCAAATTGTCACTATATAACGAAGATATAAGAAGAAAGTTTTCAACAGCTTTATTTGAAACTCTTAGAGATCGATAAAACATGCTGTTTGAAGGCGATCGAACAACGAGGGAAGGACTGGTGGCAATAGCTTTCGAAATCAACATGTGTCCTTAGCGTGGGTCGTCATGTTTGCATGTTTGTAGTGGATGATGTACAGTGAAAACTAAAAGGCTGTAGGAAAAAGGAAGTGGTCGTTCCAATAGAAAGTTCTTTACATTTTCATGGAGAGAGATTTGTAGCTTTCCTTTCTTCAAGTAAGAATAGTGATCGTGTTCACGAGCATTTCGATCTAGTTGAAGTTAGTACGTAAATAAATGTCTACGTTCTCGCCGTTGGATCTTATTGAAAGTGACATGTGAAGGTGAAACGTCTTATCAGTATCAATTAGTATACCTTTTATATTGATGTTTCTCACTTATAATAATTGTGCGAAATGACCACTAAGAATTATGGGAACGGTCCGAAACTGGTGCTAAAAGGCTTGTGCGAAAAGTCTTTTGTGCGAAATGACCGGTTACCTATGATTGCAGTAAGTACAAATGCCAATTAAACATCATTCTATGCTCTTTTACTCTTCCACCCTGGAGGTTGCCTTGTGTAAAAAAAAAACCTTTTTAGAGACACCTCTGCAATGGTAGGTACACACAACTGACATGTATGAGTGAAGCATGTCAAGTATTAAGATATGATTGTCAATTAGCCTTTTATTACATGCAAACGGCTTCTTTCTATCAGCTTTAAAAACTCCTGTATCCCCACTTTCAAAGAAAAGCATTTCCCATGAAAATTTAAGCATTAAAGACATACCAATAAGCTACCAGCAACAGGTTTTTCCATTGCAAGTGTTTCATAACATCAGACTCATCACATTTTTTTGTTATATTTGAAAGCATAAGAATATTTTAATCATTACAATATGATAAAATCCCCCATTTTAACCCTTTGACTCCCACGAGTGACCAAGACAGAATTTCTCCTTACAATATCAAAACAATATCAAGCAGACAAGTTATGAGAATGAAGAAAAATATCAGTTGGGGGATTATAAGATGATCCAATACTAAATCCTCCAAACTAACATCACAAGAACTGTTTAGGAGATAGTAAGGAAAATTACTAGTGAGATCTTGCGAGTAAAAGGATTTAGTCCCACTGGTGACCAAGACAGAATTTCTCCTTACGTTATTAGTATGATATAAAGCAGACAAGTAACAAGAATTAAGAAAAAAATATCAATAGGGGGATTATTGGTTGATCCAATTTCAAATTCTCCAAACTAACATTACATAAATTGTATGGCAGACAGTAAGGAGGATTACTCATGACATTTTGAGAGTTAAAGGGTTAAGACACATATGGTAACCATGTGAACCAGAAAGACAGCAAATAGATATAACAGTATACTCCAGTAAAGTGATCTTATGTACAATGAAGTTTCAAACTTATTGAAATTAAGTTGACTTCATAATTCATATTTTAGTTGAAGAAATGTGCAATATCTCTTTACAAGGATGAAAAGGGAATGCCATTTATGAATTTTAAAATAATAAATGCCAAAAACATAGATATAGAATTTAAAAAACTATTAATATATGGCATAACTATTCAACTATTCACCGAGGTGTTGATCATTAGCTGTCATGATCACACAGAGATATAAAATAGGGTTTGTGAAAAAACCCAGGGCAATAAAATTAAAGATTCAGGAGAAGCATATGATTTCAACTTATTTACTGATGTTCTCACCTGAATTCAATCTGGAATGAGAACTCTGCAAGACTTCTGTTTTATCTTGAATTAAAACATAAAATTCAATTATTTGCAGGCAGGTTAAAGAGGAAATTAAAGGAATGGATACATTTTACATAAAAACAATCCCCTTACAGTAAAATAAAGCAGAAGCATATTGCCTTCATGTCTGTGCTTCTGAATACAGCTATAATAGGTAATTTTTAAGTAATTATCCACATATGTAAATCGAGTGCAATATATGGTCATAAAAGCAATTTTATTCTAACCTTCATACTTGAGGGGTGCCTTGTGTATTAAATAAATCAAGTTCAGTACTTCCTGAGTCACAAGCCGGGCTTTTGGGGCTACAAAATAATAAAATAATCAACGAGTTATGTCAGGCCTATTTATCGAGAGTTAATTAAGTATAGTTTTCTAAAATCGTATGGAAGTTTAAAATGTGCTTCACTTGTGCTATATATAAGGACTTGTCCTTCTTAATTACTAATAAAATTTCGAGAGTGTGACTCGATTACTTCAAAAGAGAATATCCAAGCAGGTTACAGAAATGGTTTGCGAATTGTAAACTGTTAATGTGTTGAAAAAATTTCCCTACATTATTGTGCCGATACGAATCTATCATTCATAATCGCTTATGAAATTCCGAGACTGAACCTCAACGAATTTAACGGAAAATAAATATCCAGGATAGTTACAGAAACAGACTCTCAAAAACTGCTCTTGCATTCGAAAACTGTAAACAACAATTATTTACGCTTACCATGTGCTTACCAGTGCGCTTGCGAGGTCAAATTGCCAGAACCCCGTTTAATTGCTCGATCACAGCTCGGACGCTTCTTGCAAAATGTGATGACTACCAATTTTAGAGATTAATTCTTCAGTTTCCAAGATAAGGAAAAAAATATCGTATCGCAAGCATGTTCATCATAACGCCTCGAGATGTTAAGCGAAGAGAAAGTGGCTCCATATTTTGTGAGACAAAACATTTCCTGAAGTTCGAACGAATCGAGTAGAAAGCATGAAAACATAGCGCTGAAAAGTACGACAGCCAAACAATTAAATTCACTCACCCGCTGGGGAATTCGGACCAACTCCATTAACCCGTGAGTTTGTTTGCACCACACATTTGCGGTCCGTAATTTGATTCTCAGATGTTTGACGGGTTCTCACATGACAATGTCGTCAAAATCAAATTACCGCGTCAGCCTTAACGTAAACAATCTCGATCTATTTCAATTTTGGGAAAGGCCATTACTTCGTTCTTAAGGTAAAACAACACATCTTCGGCAAAGCACAAATTTTTCAAATGAATAGAATAAATCTTGCGATAATTAACTGAAGAGAAAAAAAAGTAGAAACTTGCGCACGCCGTTTGCCTCCATTTGAAATCTTTTTAGGCAAAACAAAATACGTAAGATAACTTCTTTTCCCATAACACCACGACTGTATTAAACTTTTCAACGAAAGGACAATAAATTACTTGAAGAATACGAACACTATGAAATATTATTCGAGCGATGAACCGGCGTGAGGGTTTTTTTAACGATGAATGCCAGAGTCAATGTTTAACCGAAACGTGATCAGTTGAATCAAAAACTGAAGCTAGTATCAAACGACGATTGGTTAAAATAGAAGTTTGAATTTTTTCTGGGTCTTAGCGTAAGAGAAAACCCAGATAAGAGACGACTTACCTCCTCTTCCTTCGCGGATCCTTTGTAGTTCGCTTCTCTTTGTTGATGACCTCTTTCAATCTGTTTTCAGGAGCGACTTTGTATTTCCTTCTCGCGTTGCTCTTCGCTAGATACTTGCCTTTTTACTTATGCCCTTTATTGTTCTCTTTCGTGTTCCTCTCGCCGTATTCTGACTATTTTGGCGTCCTTTCTAACTTTCTTGCGCGATTTTCTGGACTCGCTTCAATCGCGCCATTACTTCCTCCCTCGCCCTTCCATTACGTAATGGCTAAGATAGTGCCCGTGGTACAGTTGGCCGCGCATGCTAAAAGTAGCACCTTGTACGGTCGTACGGTCGTACGGTCGTACAACCAAATTTTTTCGGCTTGATGGGTTGACTATTTCGTATAATTATGGGGCTACGCTGGAGTTCCGCTATAAGTTGTATCATTGGTCACTGTAAATTTGCTTGAACATCAAATATTTGGTAATAATATAATAATAATCATCATCATCATCAGCATCATCATCATCATCGTCAGCATCATCAATATAATCATCATCATATTTAAACAGGATAACCCCATTTGTGTAATAAGCACTGGTATCAAAGGAGGTCCTGTAGAGAGTACATGAGTAAAAAAAACGAAAGGGGTAAAAGGTAAAAATTCACCAGGGACTGTCACACGGCCGGAAATATATAAAAAGAAGCATCCATCTACATATAAACACATCATCTAAATAGGGAAAAAGTCTTTAGTTTCCCTTGAGCATTCAGTGAGGAATTTCTTTGTTTTAATATGACAAGGAAGACCGTTAAATTCCATCGCACCAGTACTTTATAGGGATCTATTAGCAACCACAAGGTTGACTTTCCGATAACGAATGTCATAACAACGTGCAGTCGAAACTGTGTGTAAAGAGGCATTAAAATAAGTATAATTAGTTAGATAAGGTGGTTCTGAAACAACGAGCAACATCTCAGTAGTCAAAAATAGGTTAAATCATCGTCTTGTAAAGGTATTCAGCTGCAGCCATAGGAATAGGGAGTATAGACTATGGTTAGCTATAGTTAGCTCCGTCCTTAAACTAAATCAATTCAGACTCGGCGTCGAATTTCTTTATGCTCCTTATGCTACATATACATATTTGCAAATCCTTTGGTGCTGTTTACTAGTTTTTTTTCTTTCCATATCTTGGAGATTAGATTGATTTCCTTGTCACTGAACCAAGATGTACCCAATGGTTTTGATGTGTTTGTCTTCATTATCTCGTACGTGCTTGGCCTCGTTCCCACAAGTGTTTGAGTCGTCATCAATCCCACCTGTGCCAAAGCCAATTCTGGAATCACAGGTGTTGCAATAATTTTGATCGTTTGCAATGATACCAATTCTTGCTTTGGAATAGTTTTTATGTATAGCCAAAACATTGAACCCCTCCTTGTAACAGTTTTCTTGTAGGGAGGCCTCAGAGCCAATCAGCGACTTCCACATGTCACGACCCAGTGACGTGTCACGATATTGCCCGTCCGCAATCACAGAGTACAAAGAGCTGGCTTGCTTCGGGATGGTAATGAAACTGAGCAGATTACCGAGCTTCATTCCTAGGCAGATCTTGGAGAAGGACGTGTTCCAGTAGGTCGGTAGCTTGGTCTCTTGTGAATCAAACCCATTCTCCCCTCCTTGAGGATTGAAGTCATCCATGTTACTCCAACGTTGGGAATCATAGTGGAAGGTTGGCTAAAAGATGGAAAATTTGAAATCAAATTGATTGATGGTAGAATTCAGAGGCAAATAAGAACTAGAACGAGTGGTATCGATCAAAACGTTTTACGGCAAGAGTGGGGAATGTAATTTATCTGTTTAACTCGAGGTTCAAGATGTCTTGCCTGAAAGTAATGATGATCTCTTCTAGGTAGTTCATGGTAAGGGGGTACAAATGGCAGATAGCTACGGCAATTGTATTGTAAATATCGATTCGAGCGCGTGGTGTGCATGATAATTAGATCAAGAAATGGTTTAACCTTTTGTTGCACAAACGTTTGATAACTTTTTTCATGAACAAGTCACATGCCAGATGTTTTCTCTAAAGCGAACATCTGGCTTACGAGTAAGAATGAGGAGAGACGAGATACCTTTTTGCCGTCGATTTTCATGACCAGCGTCCATCCTCCACCTTTGCAACCCTCAAGGTCATCAGTCATGTGACAGTAAACATAGATCTTCTTATTATTCACTAGAATTGGGTAAGTTTTATTTTCTTGTGACCTGTGGTAAAGCCGTTTTTTGTTAGTGTTACGTGTTACTCCGCGTAACTGTTAATTTTCTTCTGAGTAAGTGAAAGAATAGCTTTTTTTAATTGAGTAAATCCCCTTTCTTGCATGAGCTAACGGCGCAGGGCAGTACGGCGTTTCGCGGCCCAACTCACGCTATTGCGCACCGCCTTCATCCGGAGAATTTTTGTCAAATTGTTTTTCAATAAAAATTGTTATTATTACATAATAACACTTTTTAAGGTCTCCTAGATAGACCTGATAGCAGAGAACTGATTAAAAAATAAACCAAATAATCGACAGCGCGCTCCTCCAGAGAACCTCTGATAGACTCATTTACACAAGAGAAAATACTTATCTTTTGTCTTCGTCGATATTATTACTCAATCTGTAGTGTTGGCATTTTTTTACTGTTTGATTTCCATTCTTATAATTACGTTAAATGTTACAACGGATTTCTCGATTGCTACCATCAGCGCTTTTCCATGAGAAAATTATCTATGCTTCAAAGTTAAACACCTCTTGCTAACTGAGTGCGAGGTCTGTGCTGTAGGTTATGGACCAAGTATTTATCAAGCGTGGGCCCTTAAATCCGAGTGGGAAAAACGAGATTCCGTAACTTATAGCAACGACAAAGAAAAAGAGATTAGTAAGATAATTAAGATACCTCTGAGTTCTAATAGAGGTAATAGAGGGCGAAGATTTCAATTCAAACAAAATTTTGAATTTAGTAGGCCGTACAGTGAAATACAGCCCATTAAACTGACCAATCATAGCGTACGTATTAACTGGGAGATACGATAAAAGGTGTTATCACACACCACAACCTCTGTATTAAAGCATCCTTTCTTCATCGTCTTTTTCCTCTATCTCTTAGGTGGCAGTGATGGTGAGTTTTTACCGTAGTATATTATTTTTGTTCTTACTCCTCAACTCCAACCAAGCTATCGATAAGAATTATCAATAATGACTTACCCTTGATTTTCTAAAATCTCTTTACAAGAATGAAAAACCAGCCCTATAATCAGATGAATAACAGAATATCAAAGGTTATGTGCATATTGCAGATTTTATGAATGCACAGCCCAATCTGATGATGTGCCTATTCTGATACGCGTACTGCTCTGGATGTTTAAGATTAGTTCAAAACTGATCAATTCTAACTCAGTAAATGTCAATCGATGTGAGTGAATTTTTTGAATAATGCTGGTTGCTTAAGAAGATCTCGTAGTATTTTTTATTTATTTATTTATTTCAATCTGTAACCAAGTACTTAAATCGAAGTTAGGCGGAGCGAGGGGAGGAGTAAGGTGGTGAAAAGTGATAACTTTATCGTGTGCTGTGAAAAAAGTATATTGTTGTGTATTTGCAAGCTGAAAAGTGGGAAAACACATGATCAATTCGATCATGTAAAAAGTTCAAACGTTATTGGGAATACTTTCTTTTCTTTCGTTTTACAAAGCAATGCAAGACTTTAGTCAAGTTTACCTTTGCATGTTCGTCCATCTCCAGAGTATCCAGGTTTACACGAGCAGTTATAGGATCCATCGGTATTGATGCACACAGCATCAGCACTGCAGCCATGTGATCCCTCGGTACACTCATTGACATCTGAAAATGTTTCTTTATCTTAATTGTCAATAACATATTCAATATCTTTCAACATTCGATCAAAAAGATAATCATCTAGCATTGCCTTTGTCTGCCAAACGAATACGCTCTTAATTTCAGGAAACAATAAACACGGCCTAGAATTAGCTTTTTCATGCAATTTCTCTGGATAAGATCCACTTAATGGGTAGACTCCGCATGTTTAGTCTGCGTCTGCTGAAAGACAATCTTTTTTTTACACGACTCTGGGTCTTTTCAACCAAATGATACTGAGGTTTACCTTGGTCGCAGTTTTGACCTTTGAATCCAGCAGTACACATACAGCGAAATCCCTTGTCGGTAAAACCGCTTTGACAGGTGGCGTTGTTCTTGCAATGGTTTTTAACGCATGCGCTCTGAAGCCAAAAAGAAGAAATATGTATCACCATGATGAAAATAAATTGGTTGGCAATTGACTATTTTCAGATTTATCTCTCTCATTTAAATTTATAAGGCTAATAGATAAAACTAAACTAGAAACAAAAGGGTGCTTAGTTTGTTACACGGTAACAATGATAATGATGATAATGATGAAAATTATGATGTGATGAAAATGTAATGATAATGATAATAGTAATGAAAATGTTAGTGATAATTATAACGATAACGATGATGATAATCTTGATGATGACAAAATTGATGATGCCAGATATTAATACAAAAGTGCAATAATTTAAAATTTTGCATCAGTTTGATGTTATAACCATAAAAGTATTTGCTCTTGTGAAATGGTAAATTTTAAATGAAGTGGCAACTACCTCAGCTGCATGGTAGAAATAATTCTCTTCCTTCTTCAACTCGTCTTCATGTCCTTCGTGAGTAGCGTTATTCAGTTCACATTTGTAGTTTCCATTTCCATCCACTCGTTTTTCAAGATTAATGCTGACGCAGTTGGGTTCCATAAAACACACGTTTTTACAAAACTCCTTTTTCATAACCTCAACGATCCGAATCACGTGGTTTATGAGACGTTTGCCGTTAAATGCTTTTTCAGGCGTAAACTCCAAAATGCGGCATTGGTCTGTGTCAGAGAAGTCTTGGGAATTTTAAAAAATTCATAAATAAACAAAAAGATTAGTAGATAAAAAAAGATGATGATACTGATAATTTAAATACTGTCAGTTTATATTTTTCTTGATAAAATACAATGATAATAAAATTATTATAACAAATTTTCATAAGCTCTCTATGTTTCATCCGTCTCGATATTTCACATTCCTCATTTTAACCCATTCATCCATTTTCCTTCCTCTTCGGTTTATTTTGGCCTCAAGGTGTTTTTGTTTTATTTCTCGGTCGCATCGATCTGTCCTGTCACCCGCAGAACATCTATTATTAATACGTCGACGAAACGCGTCTTAGGGTTAGGTTAAGCTGCCCACACTAACAGAGAACTTTTGCAGTCTTTATTGCGCTACAGCTTCATTTAAAGACTTCTCGTTCTGCGATTGGATCACTATTACAAAGGTTACATATCGATTAAGAGTCAGAAATATATTTATATTCCTTGGGCATGAAAGCAATTGAGTATTTATTTGAAGAAAAGTTGACTTGAAAATACCGGTGCGAGCAAAGATGAGCTGTACGAATGAGGATGAACTATTCTTAAGTATAAACTATTCATTGTTATTCATTAAGAACATAAAAAATCAAACAACAAACTCACTAAAAATGGGCTAAAATGGCGAGTAATAGAAGTCTAGAGCAAAACAGTCCCAGAAAACACGCATATTACCAGCAGTTTAGCAGCATAAACTGATGTTTATAATCAATTTTACCACCTCGAATTTCACCTGTTTGAGCACTTGAAAGAAGTGACATCTAAAAGATGCGGTTTTATTGTGCCTAGAGTTTCAACGATAAAGGTGAAAAGCTAAAACAGCTCTTAAAACAAACAGCAGGCGCTAAACGCCAACTATAATAAGGGAAGAATAATTTTCTCTTCGTAGCTACCGTTTAAAAACTGACCTTGCGACTTGATAGAAGCCGAAAACAGAAGGCATAGGGATAACAGATGACAGGAAAAAATCGAATTCTTCATATTTCAGATCGCACTCTGAGGCTGAATTCTTAAAAGATGTGTAAGCTGTTGTAAAAAGTCCGCATCAAAATTTGGTTTGTGACTCCATCTTCCTGACTCCCTTTCAACAAAGGAAACTTGAAAGTTACCTTACTGTTTTCTTCCCAATATAATATATTTTGTCTATGTGCCAGTCCGTAATTAATGCATTGAGTCCACATAACGAAACCATTGAAATGACTTGACATGACGTCCTCACAAGTTGATTGATGATTGATTTCTTCACCAGACAGAAGAAAAAGTCTGAAGATCGATTTTTCTAGATTAACCAGGAGAGCAAATGGGAAAAACATTATGCTAATAATTCTCCATAAAATTAGAAAGATACGAATCTTATTTTCCCCCTTTTGGCCTGACATTTAACTTCCGCCTAAGAGTTATTGCAGTGAAAAACAGTCGACTGCCGCGTGCTAGAGCTCCGTGAAAATGTTCTGTAACTTTTGATTTCTAGTCATGGATTCTCTTTATTATTTGGATGGATGAGATAGTTAAACATCTACAATAACCGTAAATTCCTACTCATCAGACTAGCTCATGACAAGAATACGCTAAAATCGAAAATGTTCCAAGTTAACTGACGGAATAATCCTTCGACTTTTCGTTTGTGTCGTTTTGTTTTGTTTCTGCACCGTTTTCTCGTAATCTACTTCTTTTCAGCACGGAATAGAACCTATAATTAAATAAATTTTATTCGGCGTTATCAAAAATATGTTCATAAGGATGCATTGTGAACATTGTGAAAGGCGACTTGTCTTTATCATGGATTGTGCGAGTGGTTTAGTGAGAAGGAGAAGGCGGATGAATTAATAAGCAAAGTTGGGTGAGAAGCATATTTTGACAAGTTTACCTTTTATTTAAATAAATTCACTCGACTTTCTAGATAATGGAATCACAAATGCCAAGTTTTGTTTAGTTTCCTTTGAATTTTTTTTCCTTTTTTTTTTAGTACTAGGATTATATTTTACACAGGAAGTTCAATCAATAGGACAAATATTTAAATACTCCCGTAATAACCTAGGTATTAGCTAATTTTCTTGGATTTCGCCTCTTAGATGTTCCATTATTAAGGATGGCGCCATAGAGTTAAAACCTGATTAAGACGCGCTCCTGCGTTATGTTTTCATAGAGAGTCTTTTTGTTTTCTGCCTCCAAGATCACTAGAAATCCTAAATGAAATAATAGTCAGTGGTCGAACCGTCGTTTGCTATAGTTCGTATTAACATAACGGTATTTGTTCTTGAGTTAAAACGCTGCAAAAGGAGATGCTCCCTTGCGGTACTTTGGCTTTTTTTTTCTCTTTTTTTTTCTTCTTTTTTTTTTTTAATTTGCTTAGTTTGCCACGGTGTAATCACCCACAGTTTTTCCACTATGTGAAATTCCACCTGCCGATCATTGCGGTTTCCGCAAATGTTTGTTTTCTGCCCCCTAACTTCCATCAACTGGCTATAAGAACGGCAACTTTCAACCTAATCTTAGGAAATTCTTCCTAGGGAAACGCGAAGAATCTCGTTCAAAAGATCTTTCTTCTTACCCCAAAAAGTTATGTCATAAAATAGAACGTCAACAAGATTGACATCTGAGTATGTAAACTTTCAAATATATCGACTTCTTTCCCCCGGTGCTTTTTCTCTGTCGACCTCTTTTTTCAGGTGCAGAAGATCTATGGATATTACGGATATTGTTGCTGGAGGCTTTTTTTTGGTTTGTCTAATAGACCTTTTTACATAACAACAGGCGATCGTATTGAGCCTCCATGGTTGTTTTCGTGTCTTGATATTTTTAAAGTCCGCGCTAAGTTTGCCTCGAAATTGCTTACGTAGCACTGATCACTCTACTGTCTTAAATTTTTTGTCATAATTTGGATTTCATGAATGTCATGGTTGAGACACAAATGATGCGGTATAATATTGGATTCATGCAAATCATAAAAGCCTGTAGAGCAGGTGTCGATTTTAAAACAATACAAAAGCAGGCGGGGGTAAACACGCTTTGAGCGCAGAGCGAGTCATGTGCGAGAAGAGGAGAGCGAAAAAAAATATCATCTTGCAGAGTTCTAATTTATATACCATAGTTAGAAGATAAATTAAAACTCTGACTTCAAGGAGATAAGTGACAGCTTTTGATGATAATCGTGATCGAATGTCTTAGTGATAGTAGGGAAATAAAGCGTGTGTGGAATGGCCTTATGGTGTCGTGGCAGGATTTTCATCGGTAGTGATCCTTCGATGAAAATGGAATAGTATTGAGTGCAGTTAGAAGCTGTTTGTAAGGGGAAACCAAACATTAATGGATGGGACTGCCACATAAAATAGTGGGTTGCTCGGTGAAAAATTCGAATTATGTATTCTTACTGAAGATTAGTCAGGGCATGATCAAAGGAAACAAATATCCTAAAGTTCAAGCGAACAAAACAAAGCATAATCTAAAAATAAACACAATAAAAATAATGGTTTCCTTTTTAAAATCCTTTCTTCGCTATAATCACTAAAAATATTTACAAATATTATGATAAAATTCTCAAAAAGCTGAGAAATACATTAAAATGTCTAATAAAAATCTTAGAAAAACTAATGGATGCACGCTTCGTTTATATTTACTTCTAACACACCCTAACATCTAAAAAGGCAGAGCCTTACCGCTCCCAGAAGCCACGAGCACGAATGTGGAGCCGTGCATCCGCTGCTTTGTTCGCACTAGGTGTTAGCTCTTCTCCGCTTATCTCCTGAAGTACCGGTTCAATTTGGACGTCATTGCAAACCTTATTTAGCATTTCGGCTTCTAAATCACGCAGTCCGTCATGTCTTTGAAAGATGAAGCCTCCATGTCTGCATACCATGGCGTGATCTACACCAAAGGAATCTCCACACTCACAAGTAGACGGGGTGTCGCTCATTTTCCAATCATATCTCAGATGAATGGCGTCTTTGAAAGGGTAACTGTAAGCCACCTAGACAGCTAGATGCCCCTTTCTCCGCAGCAAGGTCGGTAGCTCTCTTGGTTTTTTTCAGGAAAGGCATTCTTCACTTCCTCTAGGTCTTCTCTATGGCGCGCATCTTTATCTCTACCTTTACATTGCTGTAGCGCTCTAGTTGCGTCATCGTCCGGGAGCTCGTGCGTCTGCGTCGCTATCTGTCTGACTAGTGGTTCAGTTATCGCAATTGAAGCTTCGTATTCCGAGGCTACAATATGACATAGGTTTGTGATCCCAAGACAACCCATCCTTACAGGTAATGGTAACAAATCACACTCAGCTACCTTGCAGGTGTGCCCTGTGATAACAGGAATAGGCACGCTCTAGCAGCACTGGAAGATCTTCAATATCGGATAATGTTCGAAGATAGAAGAAGGAAGATAGGAAGCTCACCATGTTTCAACCCGAATGTGAAGGCTGCGTATATAGCCTGTGGATACATCGCAGTAAATTCTACCAGCTTGACAATTTGATCGACCCATTCCTAGTTTTTTCCGTTCACGTACTCCTCCAGGTAGGTTCTAAAGCCTAAGACAGCGCCCAGATGCTTCTGGCCTTGCGTGGATATGTTAATTGCAATAACATATCATATAGCATATAACAGTAATAATAATAATAAAAGTGATGATAATAATAATAATTTCCAGAGATAAAGGAACAATACTCTCTTCAATTAAGACGTTTATGATTTCAAACTCGCTAGTATACGTTCAATTTAAACATAAGAAATTCTACTTCATGATGGCTTTTCGGCTTAAAGTTTGGGAAGTTAATTGTGTCCCTTATCACTGTACCAGAATGTACCCCATGGCTTTGATGTGCTTGTTTCCATTATCTGGCGAGCGCGTTGCCTCATTTCCACACGTGTTGGAATCATCATGTCGACCTCCTGTGCCAAAACCAATTCGGGAATCACAGGAGGAACAGTCATTCTGCTGGTTAGCGGTGATGCCGATTCTTGCTTTGGATTGATAAGTGTTGTCTCCCACTGCATTGAATCCTTCCTTATTGCAGCGAGGCTGCAATGAGGCCTGTGAACCAACCAGCGTCTTCCACGTGCCAGGGCCCAGTGTGGTGTGCCGGTATTGACCGTCAGCGATCAGTGAGTAAAGTGAGTTGGCTTGCTTATTGATGACAATAAATCTGAGCTGATTATCGATCTTCATACCGAGACAGATCTTGGAGAAGGATGTGTTCCAGTAGGTCGGTAGCTTCGTCTCTTGTGAGTCAAAGCCAGTCTTGCTTCCTGGAAGGTTGTAAGCAATTCTGTTGCTCCAAAACTGGGAATCGTAATGAAATGTGCTCTGAAATTTATGAAAAATAAGAAAATTTTTTATTTTTATTTTCAAGAAGATATCAGTAATAGCCTGTTCCATGCTCCTACTTAGTGGAGACAAGCAAGCGACTTTCGACGACCCCTAAAGCTTTCCAGGAAAATAGCCGTAGATTTCGCCCATCCCCTGTCGCTTCTCCCCACCTTCTTTAATCAACAGTGAATTTCTTGGCGGATAAGTTGTTACCTTATTGCCATTAATCTTCACGATCGGCGTCCATCCTCCATCTCCGCATCCAAAATCTCTCATGTAACAGAAAACAGAAATTGGCTTGTAGTCTAAGTGCAGGGTAACCTCACCACTTTTTTCCGATCTATGAAATAAAGAATCTTCTTAAATGGAGAAATTCAGTTCAAACTTGTCGAAAGCCATGGCTTCCATGAACTCAGTAAATGACACAAAGTTCTTTTCGATTAGGCGATTCCTATCAAGAGAAAAGCTAGTGTGAAAGTTTATTCTCAGGTTTGCTATGCTTAACGAAAGATTAATTTCAGAATTATCAGTATTACTACTAGTATTCTGCTCTGGCTCTCTTTTTGTCAGAGAATGATTGACTTACACATTCCGGTCAAAAATTTCCTTGCATGTCGAAGCTGAAAAAAAGAAAAGATATGTCAACAGCAATGAACCTCTTAAGAAAAGAGGATCGGATGGTGTTTTGAAATTCTCCAAGGCGGAAATTTACACGTAGAATGGGGAATATGTAATGTTCACACACACACACACACACACACACACACACACACACACACACACACACACGCGCGCGCGCGCACGCACGCACGCACGCATACATACATACATATATATATATATATATATATATGGCAGAAAGCTACCGTAACACTGCAGGAGAAATGTTACCCAAAAGGCAGATACTTCCAACTCCATAGTATCCTGATTTACATGTACAGTTGTACGATCCCTTAGTATTGTTGCACACAGCATCAGCACTGCAGTATTGTGTTCCTAGAGCGCACTCGTCGATATCTGAAAAGACTCTCCTTTAATTAGAACTTCTTTAATGAAATTAACTTTAAAACTAATATAAACAACAAATGGACACTTGCGTTGAATCCGATGTCTTCAGAGTCTTGAAGTTTTGCTGCAGCTCTCTTGACCATCCAAGAGTGCCATCAACCCATTTGGGAACTGATTATTGAGCGCGAATGTAATACAGCGGGCCTCACCTTTTAAAGGACTTTCGGAAGGTGCCGATAATACTCTGCTGATTCCTCTTCTATTTAAATCTTTTGTTCGTCTTTTTCATAGAGTATATAATTTTTAAAAGTACAAAGCTAAATCATACCAATAACAAGCAACATATATTTACATTTATCAATAATTAGTTAATTAGCATTAGACTCTGGAACTAGGCTCTGTTTTACCTTTGCAAGTCCATCCATCTCCGGTAAATCCTGGTTTGCATTTGCAGCGATACGATCCCTTGGTATTGTTGCACATAGCATCAGCACTGCAGTTGGATGTTCCATCGGCACACTCGTTTACATCTGTAAAATTCAAGGGAACCGATTAAGTGCGGAAAACCCTGAAACACATGACTAGTTGTTATCATTTTTTGGCTTGAGATTTGTGTCTTTAGTTTCCATTCCCTTCTTAGTTAAATAAAATGAGAGCTTTGGTCACGTTTACCTTCGCAAGTCCGTCCATCCCCAGAATATCCACGTTTACATGAACACTTATAGGAACCTTTGGTATTGTTGCAAACAGCATTTTCACTGCAGTCTTGTGTTCCAGCACACTCATCGATATCTGAAAATACTCTTTTTTCATTAGAATGTCTTCATTACAGATTTAAACACGAGCTAACGGCCGGTTTGGCACGATAGGGATTACCTTCCTTACAGCTTGGACCTTTGAACCCAGTGAGGCACAAACAGCGATATCCTTTGTCAGTAAAACCACTTTGACAAGTTGCATTGTTATCGCAAGGGTTATCAACACAAGCGCTCTGAAGCCAAAAAAAGAAATGGTAGCAATCTCATTATCATACGTTAAAAATATTAATAAAATGGAAACGAGCAGTATTTGAACCAACAATAATGGTAATACTAGAGATAAAAATATTCACAGTCATATTGGAATAAAAGTAACAATTGCAACGCTTATAACCGGAAAACTGGGTTTTTTTTTATCCCACTTAAAATGAGTATTTGCTAATGATGCAACACCTACCTCAGCTGCATGATAAAAATAACGTTCTTTCTTCTTCAGGTCGTGTTCGTGTCTTTCGTGAGTAACATTATTCAATTCGCATTTGTACCCACCATGTCCACTCACTCGTTTATCAAGATTAATGCTGACGCAGTCGGGTTCCATATAACACATGTTCTCACAAAAATTCATTGTCAGAACTTCAACGATGCGAATGACGTGGTTTATAAGACGTTTGCCGTCAATTGCTTTTTCAGGCGTAAACTCCAACACGCGGCATTGGTCTGCGTCAGAAAATTCTTTGAAATTTATTAAAGATATAAGAAAAAGGAAAACACTTGTAAAACATATGACAATAAGAGACGTCAAGACGATGATAACAATAAAAATGGTAATAATGATAATGGTTAGGTCTAGTAACGAGGTTAAGCATTTATTGATAGTTTCACCGTTGGAATATATTTATTTCAATTCATCCATCCATTTTCTTCCCTTTTTTCTTCCATTTTAGTTTCCAGGTTAATACCTTTCTAGATAACTTACGGACAATTATCCGTACTGCCATCTGCAAAAAAACTTGCAGATGGCAATTAAATTGCACAAAAAATGCACATATTTAAGTAAGACAAATTTCCATTCAAAAATTCCCCAAAAATAAAAAGTAAATTTTCTCAGTAAAGACGAAATTCATTAATTTAAAAGGATTTAATTAGTAAGGTGGATTGAATCGTTGAAAAATTATCTTTGAAATAAACCAGATCAACGAACAAAGAATTTTTGCAAAGAGCCTGTCACCGCAGAAGATCTTTATTGCAAAACGTCTTCTTCATCCGATCAAATTACTTCTCAAAAGCTACATATCTTGCAGGAATCACAACTTTGTCGATATTCCCTGACGTTGGAAGTTATTTACTGGAGAAAAAGTTAACCACAACTGAGGCAAAAATCTAACTTTACCGGCGCAATAAACACAAAAACCACTCCAGCTGACACAAATAAAAAGACTGAGCGGCACAACAAAAGACGACGAAGACGACCACATAATTTACGAGTGTAAACTTATCACATGTTTGAATACAAAATATAAATAAAGAGGTGATGAAGAGGTAGAAAATATTACAATGTACCAGCTTGGATGACGAGCCCGATAAAAAAAAAGATAATTAAGAAAAAAAAAAACAATAACAAGGAAAAAAAAAAAAAAAAAGAAAAAAAAAAGAGAAATGAAAACCATTCGCAATCAATTTTTCATAGAGGCACTCATACAAACTATTTGCCCAAGTATCTTTCCCTCACTAATAATTTACTTGATTAACAAGTTTAAGGAAATGTTAAGCTATCTTTAAACAGTTTCCTATTGTGGAGATAAATAACAAAACCTCCTTCAAACATATAACATGCAGGTTTTAAACAATAACTATGATTATGAAGGACTAACGTCCCTTCTCTATTCCCCATCATAAATGAGTAATAGTGAGGCTAACCTTGTGATGAGACATAAGCAAGTATCATGAAGCACAAAAGTAACAGAGCAAAGATAAAAATCGAATTCTTCATCACATGGATCTCCAAGTTTCTGCGACCGACTTCTCGAATTATGTGCAAATTGATATGAGATATCTTATTTGGATTCTTTTTGTTATGGTAAAAGCTTTCTGGTTTTTTTTTTAACCAATGAGACCTGGGCGAATCCTTATTGTTCTTCGTTTTAATTTGATATCTTTAGCCATTAGTCCAGCATGAAAACAATTAATTTTAATAATCAATCGAACGGACGTAACAGTGGTTAAAGTCTAAAAATCGGTTTCCATATTCTTAGCAAGAAACTAAACAGAAAATATAAATGCTTCTGATGCTTTACTTGGCTTTCATTGGTAGAGATAGGAATGCAACTACCCACTGCCTTACATTCACATTTTTTTTCGCACGGCTTTCATGGGTTTGTTTCCATTTTCATGGCGCATACGTAACTTTTTTTTTGCCGCACGTGTTGAATTCATCCTTGTGTCGTTCTCTACCAAAGCCACAACTGGAGTCACAGGCGTTGCAACTGCTACTTGGTTGGCATTGAAGCCATTTCTTTCTATCCTACGTTGAAATATTAACAACATGAAAAACGAGCAGCATTTAAAGCAATATTAACGATAACGCAAGAGACAAAAGTATTGGCAATGATATTAGAATTAAAGAAATAATTTCAACCTTTTATGACAGGGAAAATAGTTTTATTTTTTCTCTTGAAATGATTATTTGTTAATGATACAACACCTGCCTCAGCTGCATGATAAAAATAATGATGATGATATGACGGGCCTGGATTTTTTTTTTCAGATCCTATTTTCAACTATTTGTTTCAGTAGTGTTCTTAGCTGCGAGGATCTCTTAATTTCATCTCTTCACTGCAGTGCAAATATATGAATTTCATATATCTAAAATCATCATTCATCACTTGGATGGTTTATTTGGACCCAACACATTGCCTAGCTCCCACTTGGCTTGTTAGCTCAGTTGGTAGAGCGCTGCACCAGTATCACAGAGGTCATGGGTTCAAATCCCTTACGGGCCTAATTTTTTTTTCAGGTCCTATTTTCAACTACTCGTTTCAGTAATGTTCTTAGCTACTAGGATCTCTTAATTTTATCTCTTCACCGCAGTGCAAATATATAAACTTCATATATCTAAAATCATCAAAAATAATGATATTTCTTCTTCACATCGCGTTCTTGTCTTTCGTGAGTCACATTATTCAATTCACATTTGTACCTCCATGACCACTCACTCGTTTATTAAGATTAATGCTGTCACAGTCAAGTTCCATAAAGTACATGCTCTCATAAAAATCCATTGACATGATTTCAACGATGCGAATCATGTAATTTATAAGACGTGTTCCATCAAATGCTTTTTCATGAGTAAATTCCAACTATCGACATTGGTTTGCTAAAGAGAAGTCTTAGAAATTTAGGAGATAAAACACTCACACACACATAAATATATGTTTATCAGTTGAGATTATCTATCTGAATATTTTATTTATTTAATTTAATTTTAGTTATTTAAACAGTTTATCCGTCTGAATATTTAAGTATTCTTAATTGTTAAAGTCATCCATCCATTTCTGTTCATATTCAGACTATTTAAAACCCCTTTGGGCACTTGTCTTCCATTTCAATTTCTCAGTCGCAATTATCTGTGCTGCCACCCGCGGGAAACTCCCAGATAGCAATTAATTTCCACAGAAAATGTAAATATTTAGGTAAGAAATTGACTTTCCAAAATTCCCCCAAAATTAAGAGAAATAAATTTATTCAACTAAAACGCAAGTTCTTAGTTTTAATTAGTTAAGTGGATTGAATTGTTGAAGGAATCAATGACCAATTAACTTTTGCAAAGAGTATACACTGTAGGAGAGCTTCGTCGAATTAACATGCAGTTCTTCAGCCGATTAAATTACTACACAAAGCTACATAACTATCTTAACAGGTAAATTTGTTGATATTTCCTGCCTGGAGTAGTAATTTGTTTGAGAAAAAGGTGAGAAAAAATGAGAAAAACAGATCTGACCTGGCAGCACAAAATAACTATTGCAGCAGACACAAACAAGAAGAGCGGCATCAAAAAAATAATAATAAGAGAGAGAGATGATGAAAGAGGTGGATAATAAGAGAGAGAGATGATGAAAGAGGTGGATAATAAGAGAGAGATGATGAAAGAGGTGGATAGAGATGGATAGATAGGTAGAAAATATTTCAACCGATAACAGGTGACAGAAACGCAAATCCACGAACATCATTGGTCTCTGTAAAAAATTGAATCGACCGCGTAAGAAGGCAAAATAGCTGAGAACTAACAGAACTAATTATTATGTATTAGCCGATACATCACGCTGCCACCCGGTATTATAAAATTGATTGTTCAGTTTTTCCGTGGTTAACATGCGCTGAGTGTCAGTCGGCGGTGTGATTCCTATTTCCTTCCTTTGTCATGGTTGTCAAATATTAGTCACTGCTACCGACAACAGTCATCGTTTCAGGACAACTTTCGTCCAAACAATCAGATAACGAACGATCAAATCGAACTCAACGGTAAGATTCTATGTTGAAAAAAATATTTTGCGCAGAAATTCATTTTATCTTTTGCAAAAAATTAAAATGTTTTTAGGGCAAGGCACCTTTGAGAGGCTTAAATAAAGTGCTCGAGTTAAAATGGTTTTAAATGATTCAATGGTATGATGCTCCTGGCTACGTGTGAAAACTCATTAAAAGTCAATTTGGATCAGAAATTAGAAACTCTTAATCACTTCTGATAACATCTTCAGAAAACAACATTGCATCAGTTTGAACTGAGTGTTTTATTAGTTATTACCCTTTAACCTACATATACATATTTTAGGCCTTTGTGGGCGTGGAGCGAAAATACTTCCTTCAGTGCGTGATCAGATCATGACCTCCTTTTTACGTACAGTTTGCGACGAAATATGAATACATCAAATATGTCTTCATTTCCAATTTCTACTTCGAATTGGCTTTGCACAATTAAAACTTCTAAGACTATATTAAAAACAAAAGTTATATTTAAGACAAATTGGACAAAGGAGGAGGTATTTTCGAACCCGTTTTATAAGCTGGTGAGCTTTAGGATTCTACATTTTCTGATTCATGATGGCTTCTCGGCTTTAACTTTGGGGAGTTAACTGTGTCCCCTGTCACTGTACCAGGATGTACCCTATGGCTTTGATGTGCTTGTTTCCATTATCTGGCTGGAGCGTTGCCTCATTTCCACACGTGTTGGAGTCATCATATAGACCTCCTGTGCCAAAACCAATTCGTGAGTTACAGGAGGAACAGTCATTCTGCTGGTTAGCGGTGATGCCGATTCTTGCTTTGGAAAAACTAGGGCTGTCTCCCACCGCATTGAATCCTTCCTTACTGCATTTGGGCTGCAAGGAGGCCTGTGAGCCAATCAGCCACTTCCACGTTTCACGGCCCAGTGAGGTGTTGCGGTATTTCCCATCAGCAATAAGGGAGTGGAGAGAGTCGGCCCGCTTGTTGATGACGATGAATCTGAGCTGATTACCGATCTTCATACCAAGGCATATCTTGGAGAAGGATGTGGTCCAAAAGGTCGGTAACTTTGTCTCTTGTAAGTCAAAGCCAGTCTTGCCTCCTCGAAGGTTGTAAGCACTTCTGTTGCTCCAAAACTGGGAATCGTAATGGAATGTTCTCTGAAATTCATAACAAAGAATAAAATTTGTGTTTTCATTTTCAATAAGATCTCAGTAATAGCTTGTTCCAAGCTCCCCACTCAGCGAGGGCAAACAAGCAACTCTTTACGACCCTTGACGTTTCTTCAGGGAAATAGCCGCAGATTTTGCCATCCACCTTGCCGCTTCTCTCTCATCAGTGAATTTGCTCGCAGATGAATTTTTACCTCACTGCCATTAATCTTCATGATCAGCGTCCATCCTCCATCTCCGCATCCAAAGTCTCCCATGTGACAGAAAACAGATATTGGCTTTGAGTCTAAGCGCAGGGTAACCTCGCCACTCGTTTTCGATCTAGGAAGTAGAGAATCTTATTAAAAGAAGAGATTCAGTCCAAACTTGTTGAAAGCCATGGCTTCCTTGTATTCAGTAAATGATATAAAGTACTTTTCGATTAGGCGATTCCTTTCAAGTGAGAGGCTAATGTGGAAGTTTATCATCAAGGTTTCTATGCTTAGCGCAATATTATTTTCAGAATTATTATTATTAATAGTACTAGTATTTTCATATTCTCTCATTAAATTCCGCTCCGGTTTTGTTCTTGTAAGTGAATAATTGACTTACACATTCCGGTCGAAAATTTCCTTACACGTCGAAGCTGAAAAAAAAAGATAACGTATGTCAAAAGCAATAAATCCTTAAAGTGAAAAAAGACAGGATGGTGTTTTGAAATGCTCTCAAAGGGAAAATTTACATGGTCAATAGGACATACACAAAGTTCTTGGATTGTTGATTGGAACTTGCATTGTTAGCGGTGTCTAATGCGCTAGATGAGAATAAGAGCAGCAGCGCCGCGAATTTAAGCAGCATCCCAAACCATCGCGGCCTCGCCGTTTTCACTCAAGCCGCACGACGCTTCAAATGCACACCATATAAGACTGCTATATTCGCAGGCAAACGTTTTCACGTCCATCAAGAAGTTAGCTTGTTTTTAGTTTGAATTCTCGGTAGTTTCTAACAAGGCATTTGTCGAAGTTTTCATTGATTTAAAATAAAATCTTTATCTCGATATACATAATTAATATAAACGAACTTTTCATTACAGTAGTCTTAACAGACAATAACAGTACAAAAACTAGTTTAAGAAATACAGCAGGAGAAATGTTACCCAAACGGCAGATATTTCCATCTCCATAGTATCCTTCTTTGCATGTACAGTTGTACGATCCCTTAGTATTGTTGCACACAGCATCAGCACTGCAGTTCGTTTTTCCTGTTGCACACTCGTCTATATCTGAAAAGACCCTCCTTTAATTAGAACGTCGTCTCTGCTATGAATTTTAAAACTAATGCTGATTTCAAACTAAAGTGTAAAAAGCGAATGAAGACCAACGTTGGATTCGATGTCTCGAGAGTTTTGCAGTTTTACTGCAGTTCTCTTAGCCATGGAAGAGTACCATCAACCAGTTTGGGTATGGATCATTCAGCGAGATTATAATATACCGGATCTAAACTTTTACAAGAACTTTCAAAAGTTGTCCGTCTTTCAAATTCACTATTTTATAAAGTATATTACTTTTAAAAATACAAAATTGTCTGCCGCTTTGCTTAATGATACCAATAAGAAACAAAATATATTTACATTTATCATTATCTATTTAATTAACAGAACACTCTAAATCAAGGTTCTGTTTTACCTTTGCAAGTCCGTCCATCTCCAGTAAACCCTGGTTTGCATTTGCAGCGATACGATCCCTCGGTATTGTCGCACATAGCATCAGCACTGCAGTTGGATGTTCCGTCAGCGCACTCGTTTATATCTGTAAAATTCATGGCAACTGATTCAATTGGGAAAACTCCTAAACACATACCGATTTTATCATTTTAAGGGTTGAAATGTGTCTTAAGTCTCCATTCCTTTGTTCGTTCAATAAAATTAGGGCTTTAGTCACGTTTACCTTCGCAAGTCCGTCCATTTCCAGAATATCCAGGTTTACATGAACAGTTATAGGAACCTTTTGTATTGTTGCAAACAGCATTTTTACTGCAGTCTTGTGTTCCTGCAGCACACTCGTCGATATCTGAAAATATTCTTCTATAATTAGAACGTCATCATTGCAGATGTGAAAAAAGCTAAATTTATTGAGACCTACGTGGGATCCGACATGATACTCCTACAATTTTGGAGCAGCTTTTTAGCAAAGAGTCAGTTAAGAGCTACATGGTTCTTGCGTGAGTTTATAATAAATCGGACCTAAACTTTTACAGGTACCTTTCGAAGTTGTGTATGAGACTGTAGTCAACAGGAGCATACGACCGTTTGACATGACAGGCGTTACCTTTCTTACATCTTGGACCTTTGAATCCAGCGGTACACAAACAGCGATATCCTTTGTCAGTAAAACCGCTTTGGCAAGTAGAATTATTGTTGCAAGGGTTATCAACACAAGCGCTCTGAAGCGAAAAAAATATTATACGTTGAATTATTAATAAAATGGGAATCGAGCAGCATTTAAACTAACAATAATGATAATGTGAATGAAAGTGATCCTCGCAGTAATGTGCACTACTTAAGCAGTAGTGAAAATAAGGCCTGAAAAAAATTCAGGCCTGTACGGGATTTGAACCATGACCTCTGCGATACCGGTGCAGCGCTCTACCAACTGAGCTAACAAGCCAACTGGGCGCTGGTCATGAAGTTGGTTCTAAATAAACCCGTGAAGTGATGAATAAATGGTTAAGAATATATGAAGAGATAGAGATAGATTGACAGTGATATTAGACTTAAAGTAACAATTGCAACGCTTATGACCGGGAAACTAGTTTTTTCTTTTCCTTGAAATGAGTATTTGCTAATGATGAAACACCCACCTCAGCTGCATGATAAACATAATCGTCTACCTTCTCCAGGTCGTGTTCGTGTCTTTCGTGAGTAACATTATTCAATTCACATTTGTACGCTCCATGACCACTCACTCGTTTATAAAGATTAATGCTGACACAGTCGGGTTCCATATAACACATATTGTCACAAAAATTCATTGTCAGAACTTCAACGATGCGAATGACGTGGTTTATAAGACGTCTTCCATCAAAAGTTTTTTCAGGGGTAAACTCCAACTTTCGGCATTGGTCTGCGTCACAGAAGTCTTTGAAATTTATGAAAAATATAAAAGAAGGAAAACACTGGTAAAAGAGAATATTTAAACAAATGCATTTTTCAAATCTCTGTCGTTAAGTGTAGGAATATATTTATTTTAATTCATCCATCCATTTGGTTTCCTTTTTGTCTTCCATCTTAACTTGCAAGTTAATACATTTCTACATAAATAACAGACAATTATCCGTACTGCCATCGGCAGGAAACTTACAGATGGCAATTATTTTCCACAAAAAATGTACATATTTAAGTAAGAAAAATTTCCATTCGAAAACTCCCCAAAAAATAAAAAAAGTAAATATTCTCAGTAAAGACAAAGTTCGTAGGTTTTAATTGGTAAAGTGGACTGGATCGTTGTAGAAATCCATGAATGAACCAGATCGAGGAACAAAGAACTTTTGCAAAGAGCCTGTCATTGCAGAAGATCTTTATCTTAGAAGATCTTTGTCTCCTCTTCCGAATAAATTACTTCTCAAAAGCTACATATCTAGCAGGAATCGCAAATTTGTCGATATTCTCTGATGTTGGGAGTTATTTATTGGAGAAAGAGTTAACCACAACTGAGACAAAAATTTAACTTTACTGGCTCAATAATCACAAAAACCCCTACAGCCGACACAAATAAGAAGAGCGGCATAACAAAAGAAGACTAAGAAGACAATATAATTTACGAGTGTAAACTTTTCACATGTTCGAATACAAAATAAAAAAAGTGAATAACTGAAAAAAGAGGAGATAGAGAGGAAGAAAATATTGCAAGATATAAACTTGGATGAAGAGCTCGATAAAAAAGAAATAATTAAAAAAAAACCACAACAAAACAAAAAGGAGAAATGAAAACCATTCGCAGTTAAATTCACGCAAAGGTATTCATACAAACTATCTGCCTAAGAATAATTATTAATAATTTATTTAGTTTAAAACTTCAAGGAAGTGTTAAGCTATTTTTAAACAGTTTCCTATCGTAGAGGTAAATAACAAAACCTCCTTTAAAAATATAACATGGAGGTGTTAAACGGTAACTATGATTATGAAAGAATAATGTCTCTTCTCTATTCCCGCTCGTAAATGAGTAATGGTGAGACTAACCTTGCGATGAGACAGAAGCAGAAATCATGGGGCACAACAGTAACAAAAAAAAGATAAAAAGCGAATTCTTCATGGCGCTTATCACTTTCCGAAACCGACTTCCCGAAGGATGTACAAATTGATACAAAAATTGGATATTAAAATTTGTATAAATGATTTAACTCTCCTGACTTACTTTTAACCAATGAAACCCAGGTATTATCTTATCATTCTTTGTTTTAGTATGATATCTTTTCGTCATTGTGCCAGTAGCGATTCAATTGGGTGAAAATAAACAATTTAAGTTACTTTACTTAGCTTGCCTATTAGTCAAGTAATAATCAATCGTATTTAGATAGCAACGATTCGAGTCTAAAACTTATGGGGCACCATTATGGACAGTATTCAGAACAAATATATTAATTGTCAATTCCAAAAGTTCACTCTCATTTTCCCCAAAAAGATGCGCGTCTCCAAGTATTCCTTCGAAACTTTTATGATTGACTTGCCTTTAACTTCAGTTATTTGTGGTTTCTCAAATAAATGGACTAAAATTATATATATCTTCAATTCATAAATCAGTACGGCTCAAAAATATATATGCTAAATTTTTTTTTATTCCGTATGGTATGATGCAATGTGCGCTTGTTCTGGTGTCCAGCCCTCGCTCGACCACGAACCAAGATGGCGATTAACAAAACACATTTTCATTTATCAGTATCTAGTTAAGTTACATTAGATTCTGAAACCAGGCTCTGTTTTACCTTTGCAAGTCCGCTCATATATAGTAAATCCTGGTTTGCATTTGCAGCGATACGAACTCTTGGTATTGTTGCACATGGCATCAGCACTGCAGTTGGATGTCCCGTCAGCGCACTCGTTTACACCTGTAAATTCACGGCGACTTATTCAATAACCCCTAAACCCATGACCAATTTTATCATTTTACGGGTTAAAATTTGTGTCTTTAGTTTCCATTCACTTGAAATAAGTATTTGCTGGTGATACAACACCTACCTCAGCTGCATGATGAAAAAAAATTCTTCTTCAGGTCGCGTTCGTGTCTTTCGTGAGTAACATTATTCATTCACATCTGTACCCTCCATGACGACTCACTCGTTTATAAAGATTAATGCCGACACAGTCAGGTTCCATATAACACATGTTGTCACAAAAATTCATTGTCAGAACTTCAACGATGTGAATGACGTGGTTTATGAGACGTCTTCCATCAAATGCTTTTACAGGGGTAAACTCCAATTGTTGGCATTGGTGTGCGTCACAAAAGTCTTTGAAATTTATAAAAAAATATCAAAGAAGGAAAACACTGGTAAAAGAGACAGCCATAATAAGAGACGTGAAGATGATGATAACGATAACAACAGTAATAATGATAATGGTTAGGTTTAGTAATGAGGTTAAACATGTATTGATAGTTTCTCCGTCAGAATATATTTATTTCAATTCATCCATTCATTTTCTTCCCTTTTGTCTTTAATTTTAATTTCAAGGTTAATACCTTTCTAGATAAGTTACAGACAATCATCCGTACTCCCATCCACAGGAATCTTTCCATATTCGAAAATTCCCCAAAAATAAAAAGAAGTAAACTTTCTCGGTAAAGACGAAGTTCACAGGTTAAAATTTGTAAAGTAGAGTGAATCGTTGAGGAAATCCTTGAATGAACCAGATCAATGAACAAATAACTTTTGGAAAGAGCCCGTCAATGCAGAAGATCTTTTTTGCAAAACGTCTTCTTCTTCCGAATAAATTACTTCTCAAAAGCTACATATTTAGTGGGAATCTAAAATTTGTCGATATTCCCTGACGTTGGGAGTTATTTGTTAAAGAAAAAGTTAACCACAACTGAGGCCAAAATCTAACTTTACCAGCGCAATAAACACAAAAGCAATACAGCCGACATAAATAAGAGGACTGAGCGGCATAACAAAAGAAGACTGAGAAGACAATATAATTTACGAGTATAAACTTTTCACATGTTCGAATATATAATACAAAAAATGAGTAAAAAGGTGATAGAGAGATAAAAACTATTTCAGTATATGAACTTGGATGACGAGCCCGGTATAAATGAAAAAATTAAGAAAAAAAACAACAACAAAACAAAAACGAGAAATGAAAACCATTCTTTATTAAATTCAAATAAAGTTACTCATACAAACTATCTGCATAAGTATCTTTCCATCACTAATAATTTACTTGGTTAAGCTATCTTTAAACAGTTTCGTATTGTGGAGATAAATAACAAAACCTCCTTTAAACATAAAACATGCGACTGTTTAACGGTAACTACAATTGTGAAGGACTAATTTCCCTTCTCCATTCCCGCTCAAAAATCAGTAATAGTGAGGCTAACCTTGTGATGAGACATAAGCGAGTATCACGAAACACAAAAGTAACAGAACAAAGATAAAAATTGACTTCTTCATCGCGCCGATCGTCAAGTTTCTGCGAGCGATTTCTCGAATTATGTGCAAATGATCCAAAATATCTTATTTTTATTACTTGTTATTTTTATGGCAAAAGCTTTCTTTTTCTTTGAACCAATGAGACCTGGGTGTTTTCTTATTGCTCTTCGTTTTAATCTGATATTCTTAGCCCTTGTTCCAGCACGAAAACAATTCATTGGATCAAAATAAATTAACTTTCCCAAATCCTCTCGATGAGTCACTTAATAATAAATCGTACGGCGTGACAGTGGTCAAAGTCTAAAAGTCGGTTTTCATATTCTCGGCACGAAACTAAATAGAAAATATATATCTTCCGATACTTTACTTAGATTTCATTAGTAGAAATAGGAGTTATAGATAAGCTTCAATTGTCGGTATTGCTCTGCCTCAGAGAAGTCTTCGATAATTATAGATAGTACAAAAAAGGAAAACACTGGTAAAAGAGATGGCCATATGAGACGTGGGGACGATGATAACAATAGTCATATTAATCATTATAATGTTTAGGTTTAGTAATGAGGTTAAGCATTTATTGATAGTTTCTCCGTCTGAAGATATCTAGGCATCCTAAATTTTTCAATTCATCCATCCATATGCTGCCCTTTTTGTCTTCCATTTTAATTTCTAGGTTAATACCTTTCTAGATAAATTACGAACAATTATCCGTACTGCCATCTGCAGGAAACTTGCACGTGGCAATAATTTCCACAGAAGAATGTAAATATTTAAGTAAGAAAAATTTCCATTCAAAAATTCCCCAAAAATGTTCTCAGCGCAGACGAAGTTCGTAAGCTTTAATTAGCAAAGTGGACTGAATCGTTGAAGAAATCCATGTACAACCAGATCAATGAAGAAAGAACTTTTCCAAAGAGCATGTCACTGTAGAAGATCTTTATTGCAAAACTTCTTTTTCTTCGGATAAATTACTTCTCAAAAGCTACATATCTAGCAGGAATCGCAAATTTGTCGATATACCCTGACGTCGGGAGTTATTTGCTGGAGAAAAAGTTAACCACAACTGAGGCAAAAATCTAACTTTACCAGCGCAATAAACACAAAAACCACTCCAGCCGACACAAGTAAGAAGACTGAACGGCACAACAAAAGAGAACTTAGAAGACAATATAATTTACGAGTGTAAACTTTTCACATTTTCCAATAGAAAATACAAAAAAATGAATAAATGAATAAAAAGGTGATTGATAGGTTAAAAATATCTATATGAACTTGGATGACGAGCTCAATATAAAATAAATAATTAAGGGAAAAAAACAACAACAACCAAACAAAAAGGAAAGATGAAAACCATTCGCAATTAAATTCACATAAAGGTACTCATACAAACTATCTGCCTAAGTATCTTTCCATCACTAATAATTTACTTGGTTAAGAGGTTTAAGGAAGTGTTAAGCTATCTTTAAACAGTTTCCTATTGTGGAGATACATAACAAAACCTCCTTTAAACATATAACATGAGGTGTTAAACGGTAACTATGATTATGAAGGACTTATGTCCCTGCTCTATTCCCGCTCATGAATGAGTAATGGTGAGGCTAACCTTGTGATGAGAGCATAAGCAAGTTTCATGAGGCATAAAAGTAACAGAACAATGATCAAAATCAACTTCTTCGTCGCGCGGATCGCCAAGTTTCTGCGACCGACTTCTCGAATTATGCGCAAATTGATGCGAAATATCTTATTTTTATTATAATTATTATTATTTTTTAATGGTAAAAGCTTTCTTTTTTTGGAGCCAATGAGACCTGGGTGTTTTCTCATTGCTTTTCGTTTTAATCTGATATTTTTTGATTTGTTCTAGCAAGAAAACAATTCATTGGATGAGAATAAATTAACTTTTACGAAGCCTCTAGATGAGTCACTTAATAATCAATCGTACAGACATAACAGTGCTTAAAGTCTTAAAATCGGTTTCCATATTCTTAGCAAGAAACTAAACAGAAAATATAAATGCTTCTGATGGTTTACTTGGCTTTTATTGGTAGAAATAGGAGGGACCAATTTTGCCTCTGTCAGGCCCAAATATGGTTGGTCGTTCTAAGTGCAAATGCAGTTTGTTTATGTGCGTAAGATAAGGAAAGAGTACAGAATATATGTATATATATATATAACCCTAAGTAATCTTTCACGATTGGCTGCGAAAGAAATACAAAAAAAACATCCGCCCATTCATCATCTAATCACCCATAGTATATTGGTTGAGAATTTTAAAAACGTTGAGTGTGTTAAGTGTTAAGCTATCGTTAAGCGAATTGTTATTGTGGCGATAAACTACAAAACCTCTTTTAACCGAACAACAGATACAGGTGCTTAACAATAACTATAATTGAGAAGAACCACTCCTTATCGGAAACGAATAATGCTTAAGCTCACCGTGCGATGAGACAGAAAAAGATTTCATGAAGCACCAAAGTCACAGAACATATGTAAAAATCGAATTCTTCATGTCGCAAATCACTTTCTGAGACCGAAATCGTTCTGACGTAACAGCGGTTAATGTTTGAAAATCGATTTCCATTTTCTTAGCAACAAATCAAATGGAAAATATGAATGCTACTGCTGATGTTCTTGGCTTGAATTTTTAGAAATATGCAGCAAACTATTTGCCCCTACTGGGCCCAAAATTTTCTTCAGCCTTGAAACAAACTTGCTGAAAACCAGACCAGCTGGCACCTTCTACGGGAGCTCTTTGAGAATGTTTTTTAGAAACTTCTATTTTTCAGTTATTATTAGCATGGCGAACATTACGGTAATCTTAAGTTTATCACGATTGAGAGCATTCAACTAGTAAGCTAAAACTGGAAGTGCTGCAGTAAAATTTATGCTTTAAACCATCAATTTGTTTTGTTTTTTTTTTGTTGTTGTTGTTTTTTTTTTTATCGCCTTTCTATAACTTATAATAAAGGCTTAACAATAGCTTTATCCGGTAGGATGTGATGAATGATCTCGAGGAAGTGATATCAGGTGGCCCACCTTATTGGTTTTTACCGATTCCACATGCCGAGTCTCTATGTCAGAAAAAATAATTCGTTACATGGATAGCCACAGTAATTGCAAATACCGTCTCTTTATTTGAGTAAGATAAAGAAAGAGTTCCGAAACCGTATTTTTAAAAAAAAGTGCCTGGAGATAGTCCCAAGAAAGCAAGACTAAATGTATGTCAGAGTAGCCTCAGAATGCAATTTATGTATGTCCCTAAGCTTACATTTATATAATCCCAATTTCACTCGGCTTCAGGGCCTTATCTTGGACAGTTCATTGTCTCCCTTGTCACTGCACCAATATATATTCTATGACGTCAAAAAAATGGTTGCTTCCATCATTTGCGAGCTTTTTCATGCTTTATTCGTTGTCAAACGTGTTGTAGTCATACTTTAATCATCTCGTAAGGAAGCCTTTTGCCTGGTGATGAAGCGGTTTCCTGTCCTGGAGGGGCTACATTTTCAGCCTAAAGCTGAAAGGCGATGATCATATGTTGGTGACGCATTCTAGTTGAGGCAGTAATGGAAATGGTAAAGACTGATTTAGATCTTCAACTATGCACACTCACTATTGCAAAATTTGACATTATAAAAAAAACATTATACAAAATATCAGCGTATAAACTGAAGTTCCCCCTGAAAAAAGGAAAAGAAAGACTAATGTAATAGCTGATTATACTCTCATAATAAATCACCTTACCATCCTTCTGAAACAAGATCACAAAATGGTCAAATTTGGTGGCCTGTGGAGGATGTGCACACCGATGGAGAACTCTTATCAATCTGGTTTTACGTTGAAATTTTCAATTTTCTATTTCCGTTTCTTTCTTATCAGTAGTAAACGCACGCGTTTTGGTTGTAATATTCTTATTGACTTCCCCACTCCCCTCTTTATTGGCAGTTACTTGGCAGTCAGTTTTCTATAGTCCCAACTACATGGTCTCCAAGTAACGACTGATCTCCTCTCCGAAACGTGCGATTCCCCACATAAATGACTGGTTCCAAAACTATCCTTTGTTCTACTAGAAATAGCGATAGAATTCGTCTCTCTAAGATTATATTAGGAAATCGCACTGATCCATTTAGACAAGCTTTCAAATTGAAAGGGGGACATCTGAAATTGTGATGAGAGAGGTTTTGGCTATAGGAAATATTCCGAAAAGGAGTCCGTTGGAATGAAGAGGTAATGATCATCTTGTCAATATGTACATTCGTATTCGCGTGGAGACAGACGTCTCGAACAAATGGTACAGAAAAATTTGGCCGTTCTGTTGATAGCCAAAAAAGTAGGCAATACTTCGAGAGAAACTACTTTCTGCGCTCTGTTAGTTCTCGTTTCTGAGCCAATTGTTTTCCATATAATTAAGTCGTTCATGCCCTTGAGCTCCGGGTTACTCTGCATAACAGGCGTAATTTCTCGCGTGTTTCGCTCGGGCGGACAAATGCATGAGGCGTGTGCAAACGGCGAATCGCTCGCGCAGAAAATAACTGAATAAATAAAGAAAAAATTTAAAAAAGCCACTATTTTCGTGTACGCCCTTCAGTGCCTGATCAGATCATGACCTCCTTTCACGTTAAGTCCGCGACAACGACGTATTAAAAACATCGAGTATGTCTTCATTGCCGATTTCTGCTTCGAATTGGCTTCGTACAAATTGAAACGTCTTAGGCTAGACTTAAAAAAGTTATATTTCAGACAAATCACACCAGAGGAGAAGATAATTTTGAACCCGTTTTATTAGTTGGTAAGCTTTAGGATACTACATTTTCTACTTCATGATGGCTTCTCGGCTTAAAATTTGGGAAGTTAACTCTGTCCCCTGTCACTGTACTAGGATGTACCCCATGGCTTTGATGTGCTTGATTCCATTATCTGGACTCCACGTTGCCTCATTTCCGCACGTGTTGGAATCATCAGGTTGACCTCCTGTGCCAAAACCGATGCGGGAGTCACAGGAACCACAGTCATTCTGCTCGTTAGCCGTGATGCCGATTCTTGCTTTGGAATGACTAGGGCTGTCTCCCACCGCATTGAATCCTTCCTTATTGCAGTTGAGCTGCAAGGAGGCCTGTGGACCAACCAGCGACTTCCACGTGTTACGACCCAGTGAGGTGGCACGGTATTTCCCATCAGCGATCAGTGAGAACAGTGAGTTGGCGTGCCTGTGGATGACAATGAACTTGAGCTGATGATCAATCTTCGTACCGAGGCAGATCTTGGAGAAGGATGTGTTCCAGTAGGTTGGTAACTTAGTCTCTTGGGAATCAAAGCCAGTCTTGCCTCCAGCAAAGTTATAGGCATTTCTGTTGCTCCAGAATTCGGAATCGTAATGGAAAGTTCTCTGAAAGACAAGAATTGCATTTTTGATTTGCTTATGTTCATTTCAATAATATCAAGAGTTTCGCAAAGGAGACAGGGAGTTAACCTGCGTGCCGGCAATCTTCATGGCCAGCGTCCATCCTCCATCCCCACATCCAAAGTTTCTCATATGACAGAAAACAGGAATCGTTTGTGAACCAAACATCAGCGGGTATACTTGGCTTCGTTGCGATCTTAAAAAAAAAGAGGAATTGAAAACAATTGAATCAACCTATGGGTAGCCATTTGTGCCAAATTATCCATCACTAGTAACAAACTCAATTGTTACTGCTAAAATATCAATCGCTAGTGATAAAACTCAATCGTTAGTGCTAGAATCGACTTGTCATCGATTTTAACTTGAAACAGTCTCCCGCTTGTTAAGCAAAGATGAATCAATCAAATCTTGCTTACTTTCTTGAAATCTGATAAGGGATAGAGAGACCGGCACGGACTCCCCATGTGGTTTTTGAAGTCGTGTCGCATAATCGCCTTCAAATTATGTTTTTACTTTCACAAGCGTGTCCTTAAGGGATGCTCCCTTTTTGTAAGAGATGATTGGATGTTTTGAAAACCTGTTTTCAGCAAGAGCTGATTGCGTATTAGATTCCAATGCTCCATCAGTATTTGTTTTAAGTTTTTAACTGCCAGGTGGTACGTTGTGACAAAAGACAATTTAGTGGAGGAGGGGGGGACAGGGGGGTCAGAGTCTCCCGCTTCCCGTACCATGTTCTCCCACCTCCCGTACTTTTATGCCCTTTTATCTCCCGACTCTCACCCTTCATTGTGTTGCTCCCGTCTTCAGGTTAATCAAGAGGATCAAAAACCCGGGTTAAAATTTTAAACTGTGCCAAAACTTAACATTCTTGTTCATTTTCTGGCCTTTGGTGGATATCAAATGGAAATTTTCAAAACTTTAATATATGAGTGTTTTTGACTAAATAATACCTAGTGATAAACAACAAACTATCGCTATCTTTATTTCTTCTCCCGCTTCCCGCCCTCATATAGCTCCCGCTTCCCGCCCCCGTTCTCCCGCCTCCTGCCCTCTCCCGCCCCCCTGTCCCCCTCCGCAATAAACGCTAGTGACCTTTTAGCTTTTGTGTATATGCAAGAAACGATTGTCTAGAGGCAAAGCTGACCCCTGAGAGAGACGATTCTATGATGTTTTCTGGGTACCCTCTTGCTTTGAGGCGTTGTTTAAATTTCAAAAGGTGCTCCTCAAATGTTTCTTTCGAAGAATTACTTATACCATACCATATACCATAATTTACGTCTGGTCGGTGGCACGAGGCAAAGTGCGCAAATTAAAAAAGGTCTCGGTCAGCGAGAGAAAGAGAAAACAAAACGTCATCTATACAACATTTCCATTCTCTATGCTTAGTTTCGCTTTGTTGGATTAATTTCGTTTCAATTAACGCCATGAAAATATTAGCAAATGACACTACCATTTTCGTACTTAGAACACTGCCATTTTCGTACCTATAGCAATACCAAGTGTTTCGAGGAAGTTCTCCTCATTGAATTAAACCGAATTTTCTACAAGTATTAAGCCAAAAATTTCCCTGAGGTAGTGCGTTGGGATCGGTGCGTTATGGTTGTGGAACTTTTCCTATGCTTCACACACTATGTCCGTTCTTTCTTCTTGAGGTATATTTGTTTACAAACCAGAAAAGTCCATTGATACTAGAATTGGTAAATCTTTCCGCTTGGATTTTTCCTTATACCCAATGTCACGCGACCAGTTTTCCATATTTGGGTTTGGCCATGTGGTTGAAGTTTTTGGCAGATCTTGTGTCACTAATTTTGTCTTGTTTTCTGGACCTTGGACTAATACATCAAAGCTGGCGACGAGAATGGGATCTTTTTTTGGCCAAGCACGAGCGGTAAACACGAATCACGTCTGAAGTTGACGAAGGCACGGCAGGAAATGCCGAACGAAGCGTCGAACGTCAACACGAGTCAAACCATTGGAAAAGTGACAAAGTAGGTTGTGGGAGCGGACTGGGAGTTATACACCGAACAGTTGGGTTTTTATTTTCTCGCAAATGGAATCACAGAGGCTAAAACGAAGAACGCCGTACTTTTAACAAATCTTTCAGTAGAAACTTACCAGCTTGCGAAGAATTTAGTGGCTCCAACGCAGCTAAAGGATGGCGCCATTACATCTACCGTCATAGAGGAGCTAATACAGAAGCAACTCAAACCTGAAAGCTCAGCGACTCTTGACGACCGCTGACGTTTTTCAGGGAAACAGCCGCAGATTTTGCTAATCCTCTTTGTCGTTTATCTCCACTGTCCTGTATCAACAGTGAATTCCTTTGCAGATAAATTGCTACCTTACTGGGACTAGTCTTTATGATCGGCGTCCGTCCTCCATTTCCGCATCCAAAGTCTCCCGTGTGAGAGAAAACAGACTTTGGCTTTGAATCTAAGTGCAGGGTAACCTCGCCACTCTTTTTCGATCTACTAAATAAAGAATCTTCCTAAATAGAGAGATTCAGTTGAAACTTGATGAGGGCCATGGCTTCCATATATTTAGTAAATGACACAAAGTACTTTTCGATGAGGCGAAAGTTTTCAAGATGGAAGCTAGTGTGCAAGTTTATTATCAAGGTTGCTATGCTTAGCGCAGTATCATTTTCAGAATTTTTATTATTAGTACTACTGTTATTTTCATATTCTCTCATTAAATTCCGCGCTAGCTTTGTTCTTAGTGAATAATTGACTTACACATTCCGGTCGAAAATTTCCTTACACGTCGAAGCTGAAAAAAAGAAAAGGCATATCAACAGCAATAAACCATTAAAAAAAAAAAAAAGGGAAGGTGTTTTAAAATGCTCTCAAAGGGAAAATTTACGTGTGGAATAGGAAATACACGCGTTCTTGGTCACTCGTGTTTTCGTAGCTTGCATTGTTAGCGGTTTGTAATGCGCTAGATAAGAATAAAAGCAGCGGAGCCGCGAATTTAAGCAGCATCCCAAACCCCTCGCGGCCTCGCCGTTTTTACCCATAAAGAAGTTAGCTTGTTTTTAGTTTAGTTTAGCTTGTTTTAAGTTTGAATTCTCAGTAGTTTTTAACAAGGCTATTATCAAAGTTTTTATCGATTTACTATATCTCTATATCTCGATATACATAGTTATTATAGACGAACGTCTTATTACAGTAGTCTAAACAGAAAGAAACAGTACAAAAACTGGCTTAAAAAATACAGCAGGAGAAATGTTACCCGAACGGCAGATATTTCCATCTCCATAGTATCCCTGTTTGCATGTACAGTTGTACGATCCCTTAGTATTGTTGCACACAGCATCAGCACTGCAGTTCGCTTTTCCTGCAGCACACTCGTCGAAATCTGAAAAGACTCTCCTCTAATTAGAACGTCAACGCTGCAATTAATTTTAAAACTAATGTAGATTTAAAACTAAAGTGTAAACAACAAATGGAGACCCAAGTTGGATCTGATGTCTTGAGAGTCTTGCAATTTTTCCTGCAGCTCTCTTGGCCATGCAGGAGTACCATCAACCCATTTAGGAACTGATTATTGAGCGCGATTACAATACACCGGGACTGAACTTTTACAGGTACTTTCAGAAGTTTCGTACAATACTCTGGCGATTCCCCTCCTATTAAAATTCACCATTTTTGTAAAGTAAAAAATGCAAAGTAGTCCGCGGCTTTGCATGATGATACCAATAAGAAACAACATATATTTACATTTATCAGTATCTAGTTAATTAAACTTAAGACTCTGAAACCAGGCTCTGTTTTACCTAAACTTTTACAGGCACCCTTGGAAGTTGTGTAAAAACCCGAGCTTACGGGTGGTTTGACAAGACAACGATTACCTTTCTTACACCTTGGACCTTTGAATCCAGCGGTGCACAAACAGCGATATCCTTTGTCAGTAAAACCGGTTTGACAAGTAGCATTGTTACGGCAAGGGTTATCAACACAAGCGCTCTGTAGCAAAAAGAACAAATAGTAACAATCTTAATATCATACGCTGAAATATTAATAAAATCGAAAACGAGCCGCATTTAAACCAACAGCAATGATAACTCTACGGATATAAATATTGGCCGCGATATTAGAATTAAAGCAACAATTGCAACGCTCATCACTGGCTTTTTTTTTCATAGTTTTTTTTCTTTCCCTTGAAATGAGTATTTGCTAATAATGCAACACCTACCTCAGCTGCATGATAAAAATGATTGTCTTCCTTCTTCAGGTCGTGTTCGTGTCTTTCGTGAGTAACATTGTTCAATTCACATTTGTACTCTCCATGTTCACTCACTCGTTTATCAAGATTAATGCTGACACAGTCAGGTTCCATATAACACATGTTCTCACAAAAATTCATTGTCAGAACTTCAACGATGCGAATGACGTGGTTTATAAGACGTCTGCCATCAAATGCTTTTTCAGGCGTAAACTCCAACTTTCGGCATTGGTCTGCGTCACAGAAGTCTTTGAAATTTATAAAAATTATGAAAAACGTAAAACACTGGTAAAACAGATGACAATAAGAGACGTCAAGACGATGACAACAATAATAATAGTAATAATGATAATGGTTCATCCATCCATTTTCTTCCCTTTTTGTCTTCCATTTTAATTTCTAGGTTAATACCTTTCTAGATAAGTTACGGACAATTATCCGTACTGACATCTGCAAAAAACTTGCGGATGGTAATTAAATTGCACAAAAAATGCACATATTTAAGTAAGAAAAATTTCCATTCAAAAATTCCCCAAAAATAAAAAGAAGTAAATTTTCTCAGTAAAGACGAAATTCGTAGAATTTAATTAATAAGGTGGACTGAATCGTTGAAGAAATCTATGAATAAACCAGATCAACGAACAAAGAACTTCTGCAAAGAGCCTGTCACCGCAGAAGATCTTTATTGCAAAACGTCTTCTTCATCCGATCAAATTACTTCTCAAAAGCTACATATCTAGCAGGAATCGCAAATTTGTCGATATTTACTGACATTACTGGAGAAAAATTTAACCACAACTGAGGCAAAAATCTAACTTTACTAGCGCAATAAACACAAAAACCACTCCAGCTGACACAAATAAAAAGACTGAGCGGCATAACAAAAGACGACGAAGACGACCACATAATTTACGAGTGTAAACTTTTCACATGTTTGAATACAAAATAAAAAATATGAATAAAGAGGTGATGAAGAGGTATAAAATGTTACAATATACCAACTTGGATAAAGAGCCCGATAAATAAAAAAAAATTAAGAAAAACAAAAAAAAAACAATGACAATAACAAAAAGGACAAATGAAAACCATTCGCAATTAAATTCACATAAAGGCACGCATGCAAACTATTTGCTAAAGTATCTTTCCATCACTAATAATTTACTTGGTTAAGAAGTTTAAGGACGTGTTAAGCTATCTTTAAAAAGTTTCCTATTGTGGAAATAAATAACAAAACCTCCTCCAAACATATAACATGCAGGTGTTAAACAATAACTACGATTATGAAGGACTAATGTCCCTTCTCTATTCCCGATCATAAATGAGAAATAGTGAGGCTAACCTTCTGATGAGACATATGCAAGTATCATGAAGCACAAAAGTAACAGACCAAAGATAAAAATCGAATTCTTCATCGCATGGATCTCCAGGTTTCTACGACCGACTTCTCGAATTATGTGCAAATTGATATGAGATATCTTATTTTGGTAAAAGCTTTCTGTTTTTTTTTTTTTTTTTAACCAATGAGACCTGGGTGAATCCTTAATGTTCTTCGTTTTAATTTGATATCTTTCGCCATTGGTCAAGCATGAAAACAACTCATTGGGTGAAAATACATCAACCTTTACGATGCCTCTAGACGAGTCACTTAAAAATCAATCGTACGGACGTAACAGTGGTTAAAGTCTAAAAATCGGTTTCCATATTCTGAGCAAAAAACTAAACAGAAAATATAAATGCTTCTGATGCTTTACTTGGCTTTCATTGGTGGAGATAGGAGTAAGAAATTTTGCTCCTCTTAAGCCCGAGGTGGTCCTCCTCCCTGAAATAAATTGCTGAAAACTATAGTAACTGGCACATTTAACGACGAGTCGTTATGAATATTTCAGAAACTTTTATTATTATTATACAGGTCTTCGTCACATGACAAAATGGCATGACGAAAAATATGATAATATGAGGTTAGCGTTAATCATGATCGAGATCATCAAACTATTGAGCTGAAAATGGTGTTTGAACATGTATCTATAAACTGAATGATCGATTATTTTTTCTATCCATGACTATAACTTACTTTAAGGCTTAAATGTACATTCATTAACTAAAATATGATATTTTAAATTCCTTCTGGACAGGGAGCAATTGCGTCACATGGCTAGTCGTCCTTGGTGTAAATGCAATTTCTTTATGTGTGTAAGATAAGGAAAGAGTACGGAAACTGGATTTTTAAATACTAATACATAATAAATAAATAAATCTAGAAGGTAAAACACACGCATACAGACATATATATCAGCCGAGATTATCTATCTGAATATTTTATTTATTTTATTTTATTTTATTTATTTTAAACAGTTTATCCGTCTGAATATTTATCTACTATAAATTTTTCAATTTATCCACCCATTTCTGTTCCTATTCGGACTATTTAAAACCCCTTTGGGCACTTGTCTTCCATTTTAATTTCTCAGTCGCAATTATCTGTGCTGCCACCTGCAGAAAACTCCCAGATAGCAATTAACTTCCACAGAAAATGTAAATATTTAGGTAAGAAATTGACATTCCAAAATTCCCCCAAAATTAAGAGAAGTAAATTTTCTCAGCTAAAACGCAAGTTCTTAGTTTTAATTAGTTAAGTGGATTGAATTGTTTAAGGAATCAATGACCAAATAACTTTTGCGAAGAGTCTATACCGCAGGAGAGCCTCATTGTATAACATGCCGTTCTTCAGCCGATTAAATTACTACACAAAGCTACATATCTACCTAGACAGGTGATTTTTGTTGATATTCCCTTTTTGAGTACTGCACCAGTTTGAACTGAGTGTGTTATTAGTTATTAACTCTTAACCTACATAGACATATTTTAGGCCTCTATGGGCGTGGTTCGAGGTCCATCAGCTTGGAGACAGTACTTTGTCTCCCTTGTCTCTGTAATAAGATGTATCCCATGGCTTCAGTGTGTTTGCCTTTATCATCTGACGACACGCTACTTAATGCTTCACTTCCACAAGTGTTGGTGTCATCATAGCTTGATTTATTTTCAGCTTGGTGGTTGGTAGATCGGTCATGTATCATCAGTCACCATGGCCAGCGTCCATACTCGAGCTCCATCTTCACATGCGCAACTCCTTTGAAAACAAAACATGCCACTGAAGTTCACCCGGGAAAAAGGAAAAGGAAGAGTAATATAATTGCAATCATACTTTCATAATAAATCACCTCACCATCCTTTTGAAACGAGATCACGAAATGGCCAAATTTGGTGGCCTGTGAAGGATGCGGACACCGATGGAGATCTTTTTTTTAAACTGGTTGTACGTTGAAATACTAAAATTTTTCATTTCCGTTATTTTGTCATTTTAGCAAACGTGCGTGTTTTGATAGATATTCTCATTAGTTACTTAGCAGTCAGTTTTCTATATATTCAACTGTGTGGTCTGTAGGCGACGACCGATCTCCTCTCCAAAACCTCCTGAACACCATGTGTAACCCCCCACGTAAATGAATGGTCGCAAAACTATCCTTTGTTCTGCGAGAGATAGCTACAGAATTCGTCTCTCTAAAATTATATAAGGAAATCGCACAGATCCATTAGGCAAGTTTTCGAATGGAAAGGTGGACATCTGAAGTTGTCGTGAGAGAGGTTTCGGCTGTGAGAAATATTCCGGAAAGAAATCCGTTCGAATGAAAAGCTAGTGATCAACTTGTCAATATGTACATTCGCATTTCGCATGGAGACAGACGTCTCGAATAAATGGTACAGTAAAATTGGGTCGTTCTGGTGATAGCGAGAAAAGTAGGCAGTAAACAGCTGTTTACGTTCTGTTAGTTCTCGTTTCTGAGTCAATTCTTTTCCATACAAATCGTTCATGCCTTTGAGCTCCTAGTTACCCTGCAGAACAGGCGTAATTTCTTGCGTTTTTCACTCGGGCGGACAGATGCACAAGGCGGGTGCAAAGGGCATGTCACTCGCGCAGAAAAAAAAGTCACTATTTTCGCGTACGTGCTTCGGTGCGTGATCAAATTATGACCTCCTTTCACGTACATGTTCGCAACATGGACGTGCTAAAAACATCGATTATGTCTTCATTGCCAATTTCTACTGCGTTCTCATAGCTTGAATTGGCTTCGCACAACTCAACAGCATAAATTGAAATGTCTTGGACTAGATTTAAAAACTTATATTTTGCACAAATCAGACCAGAGGAGAATACAATTTTTTAATCCGTTTTATTAGCTGGCAAGCTTTAGGATACTATATTTTCTACTTCCCGATGGCTTCTCGGCTTAAAGTTTGGGAATTTAAACTTTGTCCCCTGTCACTGTACCAGGATTTACCCCATGGCTTTGATGTGCTTGTTACCATTATCTGGTCAGTGCTATGCCTGATTTCCACACGTGTTGGAGTTATCATGTCAGACCTCCTGTACCAAACCAATTGGGAAGTCACAGAAAGAACATTAATTCTGTTGGTTAGCAGTGATGCCAATTCTTGCTTTGGATTGACGAGGGCTGTCTTCCACCGCATTGAATCTTTCCTTTTTGCACTGAGGCTGCAATGAGGCTTGTGAACCAATCAATATTTTCCACGTGTTACGACCCAACGAGGTGGAGCGGTATTTCCCATCGGCGATCAATGAGTAGAGTGAGTTGGCCTGCCTGTTGATGACAATGAACCTGAGCTAACTACCAATCTTCATTCGAGGCAGATCTTGGAGAAGGGTGTGTTCCAGTAGGTTGGTAACTTGGTCTCTTGTGAGTCAAAGCCAGTCTAGGCTCCAGCAAAGTTATAGGCATTCCTATAACTCCTGAACTGGGAATCGTAATGGAAGGTTCTCTAAAAAAACAAGAATTACATTTTTAATTTGCCTTTGTTAATTTCAGTGATATCGAGAGTTTCTTTAAGGAGGTAGAGAGTTAACCTTCGTGCCGTCAATCTTCATGGCCAGCGTCCATCCTCCATCCCCGCATCCAAAGTTTCCTATGTGACAGTAAACCGGGATCTTTTGTGAACATCAGCGGGTATACTTGGCTTCGTCTCGACCTTATAGAAAAAGAGGAAGTCGAAAAAAAAATTAGCCAGTTAAGACTGCATATGGTTACTGATACAGGACAATTTTTTAGAGCATTGAAAATAACCAGGGCTTATTTGATGATGCTAGAAGATATCGTTGCAGAAGATCTGTCTCGCATGCAAAACAGAAAACCTGCAGTACCCCACAAGTTTATGAGAGCCACGTTCCACAA